AGAGCAAGACTCCATCTCAAAAAAAAAAAAAGGAAAGAAAAGAAAATCAAATGGACATGGGAAATTGATGTGTTCAGCTTCACTTTATGTGCCCTGTTTTTATTAGTGGTCCTGAAGCTTCTTCCAATTTGATCAAACCATTGCTGGCTTCCTGCTTTAGGTTGGAGGGCATCTTGATGGCCTGGAAGCCAACACGAACAAGATCACTAGTTTTACCCTCTGCATGTTCCATTTTTCTAACATCAAATGTACCAGTTACAAAATTGTGAATTTTCTCATAAAACCGCCCTCTGGAGAGAAGCATAGGATTATTATCTCTTCTCAAACAGCTGCTTTTTCTTCCTGTAGACCCCTGTAGGTATAAGCTAAAGCTGCCTTCTCATAAGAAATGCTTGTCATAAGAAAGAGATGAGTGTGAAAATGCCTTTTTATAGAGCCTCTGTCTACTTCTGTTATGGGGATTATTTAAACATGAAGGAATTTCACTATGATTTAAAATTGACTACCCCCTCCATCTCCAATTGCTTCTGGATCACCTCCCCAGCTGTTTAAAAAGTTGTTGAGCCATTAACTGCTGTGGAGGCTGCTCTGAGCTCCCTTTGAAATGGGGGTCCCCCGGCTGCAGTACATAATATTAATGAGCAATAAGTGATTGCCTGCTGCTCTCTACACCAGGCCCTTCTGGGCTCTGACAAGTGCTACCGCCGCCTCTGCATGGCCTCCTGGCCCACCATGCCTCCAGAGTGATGGATGCCCCTGTCGGCACTTCTGCTTCCACAGCTGACTGGGTGTCTTGCAGTCAGCCTATTCCAAGAGCATGGACCTGGGAGAACTCTGCCTTCTCCGTGCTGTTTATCAAAGCAGTCTGGGTGCTCTTTAACAGAAAGTACCATCTGACCCATTCTACAGATGAGCAACTAGATCCAATTTGCATTCAAAAAAGGAACTAGATCCAATTCGCATTTTAAAAAGGCAGAACTGGGTCCTGAAGCAGATTCTTAAATCCCAGTTTTTTTCCAGGAATGGAGCAAGAGTCCATATTAACTTTCCAAAACCAGACAAATAGCGAAATATCTCCAGGGCAAATGAACAACTATGAAAGGGTAAAAGAGTTTCAGTCATCCTCTTATACATTTCATGTCCCCTACCACCCTGTCACTAAAGGAGCAGAAAAATGCTTCTAGAATTGTTGTACTTAGGATCCTACTTTATAAATCACAGTTAGTAAATAAGCAACGTACTGGAATTGCTATAAGAAATTGAAAAATCAATATGATTTTACGTTTTCATTTCAATAAACATCAATGGCTGACTTTGCCATGCATTCATTAACTTTTGGTTAATGACTCCACTTTTGGAGCTTTGTTGAGAGCTAAGCTGGCTTCCTGCCCTCCATGTCCTTTGACTGAAAAGCATGGCCTTGATTCCTTCTCTCCTAAAAGGAGGTGAGATATCTCAGACTGTGGGAGTAGAAGCATGACAGCTACCACAGTGGTGTCAGGCACCACTGTAAAAAAAATTTTGTTGACCCACTTAATCCTCACAACCTCCCTCTGAGGACGGGACTGTTATAATCACCACCTGACAGATAAGAAAGCTGAGAGGTTAAGTGACTTACCCGAGATCACACAGCTGTAAAGAACAGAAATAGGATTCAAACCCAGGCAGCCTGACTCCAAAGCCCATGTTCTTTATCAACAGACTAATCCTCTCTATGTAGTATTTGTGTGTCACAGGGAACTCAAGAATTTCATTACTTGACCCCCACCAAACTAATAGCTCTAAACACATGGAAACTTCCCTCTCTAGAGGTGAGAACTTCCACATCTGCCTCCTGAGAAGCAGCTAACTTTACACTTAGTTCACAGGACTATTTCAAATTCAATGTATAATTTACTTTTTTAAAAAATTTTTTAAGAGACAAAGTCTTGCTATGTTGGCCAGGCTGGTCTCAAACTCCTGGCTTCAAATGATCCTCTTGCCTCAGCCTCAGGAGTGGTTGGGATTACAGATTTGAGCCACTGTAACTCAACTTCTCAATTTTGAAAACCCATTGTAAATTTATAAAATTTGAACCTCTGAAGCAGTATTTTTCAAAGTCCATCCCATAAACCCACTGCATCAGCATCTGCAGGGGATGTTTGTTTCAAACATGGAATCTGAGCTTCACCCAGACTCACTGAAACTGAATCCCCAGGAGTAGGTCCCAGTAATCTGCGTTTTTAAGAAGCACCCCAGTCACTCTTATTGACAAGATTTACAATAATTATAGAGTTGCATCTGGAAGTTTCAGGAGCTTTGCACATCATCAATTCAACTGCAGATTGAATTGCAGTGGCTTTCAAAGCCACTCTGCATTCAACAGCTATTTCAGGGAGGATTACAATGTGCAAGAACTGTTCCTAAATTGTTGTAGTCTCCTTCTGTGTGAGCCAGCTGGTTAGAGAGTTTGAATAATTTCCCAAGTGGCTCCAGTTAAGTGGACACTTGTACACTCTGTACCTATGAAAATATAGAAAAGACACAGTTTTCCACCCTGGACCCAAAGTGAGTCTTTCAGAATGGGACTCTGAATCATCTTTCTTTTTTGCTAAAAACCCTCCTAGAGAACATAACGTGAACTATGAAGGTTTACATAATCTGGCTATGCCCACCTCTCTGGCATTACCTCACCCACTCACTGCTCCAGCAACCCTGAACTGCCTTCAGATCTTCCAGAGTGCCAAGCGCCACAGCATCTTTTGCACATGATCCTGGGGCATGTTATGTACCCTCTGCCCCAGCACCTAATTAGCTCTCTCACTCTTCCATCAGAGCTCAGCTTCAATGTCACTTCCTCAGGGCAACTTCCCAGGCCTGCCACAAGTCAGGGCATCCTCTTTTCTCCCACTTTTCCTTCTGCTGTTCTTCCTTGGCACTCACCACAGTTTTTCAGTTTTTGACTGTATGGTAAACTTATTTTCATCAGTCTCCTCAAATAGACTACAAACAGGAGCCATAATGCTTTGTGCATTCTGGTATTTAGCTGAGCACTGGCTACATATTAGGCATGCAATTCATTGTGGTATATCAATAATGAAAAAAAAATTAATTCATTATGTTGGAGATAGAGTTTTGATTCTCAGTCTAAAATTTAACATCCATTCTATAGACAAAGATTCTGCATTTTCCTTTCTATCTCTGTCTTTAAATAGCAGTGGAGATGGTTAAGATTGGAAAGTCTGAACTCTAAACTTCTTTACACGTTCTAGATCCCTTTACTGAATGTGTCAACAGCTCTAATCCTGATGCTATTTTTAAATTGCTCATAATATGGTTATATAGTCATTAGCTGTTAAAGTTGATAAAAGAGTGGAAGTTTCTGATTTTGAAAAACCACAAGGTAACTAATTATTTCCTCTTTTACTTCAAAGGCTGAAATGGATTCTTGTTATTGAACAGGGTAGGGAACATGATGAGCCTAATTGGTGACAAGATAGGTTTTGTTTAATTGTATTTTTCTTCACTTTCAAGTGTGTCTTTAGTCAGCTATGTGAACTATCATTCTTCTCTTTTGTATGAGTATTCTCTATACAAGAACACATCTCTCACAATAATTTAATCACGATGACTTTTGTTTAAGCTAATTTTGACATATATGATGGATTCCCAGTGTTCTAAATGACAAGTATGTTAATAGCTAGAATTGTTCATCTCCTAAGACCCATAGAGCATTTAAATTATTATAAAACACTGTCTTCTGGGTATCTTAACTCAAAAAATTGTATCTTACATGATACATATATCAAAACCTAACAATTATAAGTGGATATTCTTCCACTCATTTTTAGAACACCTCCCTAAGGAAGCTAAGTGCCAGGAACCTCCCAAATTCTCTGTGTGTTTCATATTATGCCTTACAGTGGAAACAGATTAGAGAGCCACTATACAAGTGGGTTAGAGATCTTGATAGCCAAGCAGTCCAGATCATCTTATATTACACCTCATACAGTTTGGTTGTACATTCCTACTGTCACCTTCCAAAGATAAAAATCTAACATTCATTTCACAAAGCTCTATGGGAAATTATGGGTAATCATAATGTTCACTAATAATTACACTTCACATCTCCAGTGTTCTTAACACTTTTACAGGAATTACCTCCCTCAGTCCACACAACAACCCAGCGAAGTAGGTACTATTGGTAAGCCCATTTTATAAATGAGAAGACTGAGACATAGACAAAGTCATAGCTACACCATTACTAAGCTCTTCTGGAACTCAGGTAGTCTGCCTACAAAGCACCCACTTGTAACTATTAAACTGGAAAACCTCTCATACATACTTATGGAAGAGCAATGATTCAGGGATCTTGGTCCTGCTTGCTTGCTGTCTCTCTATTTTTCCTTTAGGAGATGGAGTCTGGAGGGAATACGTTTTATTTTGTTTCATTCTGAGAGAAAAGCTGAAAGTGAGCCTTCTTTCTTTCTGAACATCTTTTTCCAAAGCCATTTACCTTCATCTGGGGCTAGAAAGGACACTGATTCCACAGACAGAGCACTAATGAGCTTCCTTCTCTATCTCCCTCTCTGTCTCTCTGTTCTGCAGTTAATAGCCAAGATACCAACCATCACGGCAGTCTGCAACTTGCACGGGGAGAAGCTGCAGGTATTTAAGCAATCTCATCCAGAGATAGTGAATACACTGTTTCCTCCGTTATACAAGGAGCTCTTTAATCCTGACTGTGCCACCGGCTGTAAATGAAGGGGACAAGAGAACTGTCTCATAGTCATGGAATGCATCACCATTAAGACAAAAGCAATGTGTTCATGAAGACTTAAGAAAAATGTCACTACTGCAACATTAGGAATGTCCTGCACTTAATAGAATTATTTTTCACCGCTACAGTTTGAAGAATGTAAATATGCACCTGAGTGGGGCTCTTTTATTTGTTTGTTTGATTTTGAAATGACCATAAATATACAAATATAGGACACTGGGTGTTATCCTTTTTTTTAATTTTATTCGGGTATGTTTTGGGAGACAACTGTTTATAGAATTTTATTGTAGATATATACAAGAAAAGAGCGGTACTTTACATGATTACTTTTCCTGTTGATTGTTCAAATATAATTTAAGAAAATTTCACTTAATAGGCTTTACCTATTTCTATGTTTTTAGGTAGTTGATGCATGTGTAAATTTGTAGCTGTCTTGGAAGGTACTGTGCATGTATGTAATAAGTATATAATATGTGAGAATATTATATATGACTATTACTTATACATGCACAGGCACTGTGGCTTAAATACCATACCTACTAGCAATGGAGGTTCAGTCAGGCTCTCTTCTATGATTTATCTTCTGTGTTATATGTTACCTTCATGTTGGACAATCAGGATTTTGTTTTCCCAGCCAGAGTTTTCATCTATAATCAATGGCAGGACGGTATCAACTCAGAAATAAGTCTACAAAGGAATAAACATACTGCGTGGCCTCTATATACGAACTCTGTTTCTGAAAGTGACATCAAAGCCTTGTCAAAATGGTAAATATTGAGAGGGGAGAGTATTTGGAGCCATTTTCCTGTTTCAAGAATTAGGCCACAGATAATATCACAAGGTCCAAGACTTTTTTGACCAAACAGTAGCTATTTTCTATTTTGCACCAGAACACATAAAAACATTTTTTTCTTTTGGATATTCAGTTGTGAAAGAAACTTGATTTCACTGCTTAATGTGTCTTCAACTGAAAAATACAATCTGTGGATTGTGACTACCAGCAATTTTTTCTAGAAAAATTAAAAGAATAAATCAGAACCCAGGGCAACAATGCCACTTCGTATAAACATTTTCTGTCTCACCATGTTTTGGCAAGAACAGGTAGAAAGAGAAGACACAGAGTAAAGAAGTAATTCTTTATATTTATTCTCTTTAATACATTTGTTAGGAAAAGTGGCAATAAAAGGGGAGGCATATTGTAAAATGCCATAATATAAAAATATAGCAAAAACTTGGCAAATCAGAAAAAAAAATCTGTGTTATTCCAGGGAATGAATATACCCCAAAGCCAAAACTAATTCCTATGTAATTTACAATTATATCATCCATCTAACCTAGCAACTTTTAAAGAATATTTTTTGGCAACTTTTAAAAGTAAAGAATACAAGGGTGACATTAGGATCAGAGATTTTAGACTTCCTTGCACAAATTCTCACTTCTCCACCTACTCACCAATGAAATTAATTGTAAGAAAAGCATATATTCCAAGGCATTTGTTCTGCCTGTGTCCTGGAGGCCTATACCTTTGGTATTTTCTGATCCAAAACAAAACTTAGAACAACAACAACAAAAAAAAACAAGCTAGGAGAGAATTTTGTGTCTAAGACAATGAAAATTATGGTCTCCCATAAGCATATCCCAGCCACCAACGCCTAAAGAACTGTCCTTTTCTCCTTGTTTACACACACACACACACACACACACACACACACACACACATCTGCTTTGTAAAGTTTCCATCAGTGGAAACTTTGATTTTTTTTTTTTTTATCTCTTATGCTCTCCTGAAGCTCATGGTTGAGTACCATCTCCAAGATACCACAGAACTCCTGATTTATGATCAAAACAGTAGTGTCGACTTTTTCTTTTAGAAAATGGAACATTTTCTCACCTCATGATTGATGAATTCTAAACCAATGGGGAAAAACAAAAAGCCTTTAAAATAATGAATCTCTTTCTCAACTACTGTTATATTCAATTAATTTAACTACATTGAACCAAATTACCTTTGGTTCTAAGAAGACAGCTGTAGACTGCTTATTATGCTGCTACAGGGACTCAATTCTTTTTGGTGTAAATGTCACTCCTGCTAGCTCTTTGTATAAAGAATTAATTCCCAGAGTCATATTTCCTTCTAATGGAAAGATTACTCTACTGATTGCTAGGAAAACAGGGTAATGGAAGGCACTCAATTAAACCAAGCCGTTTCCAAATGCAATGTATGTTTTATGATTGGCTTGTGATAGGCAATGCTTAATGTGTCTACTTGGTGTTTCCCTTTGAGCTTTGAACTTATGTCAAACTTTGTTTTCATTGTTCTGTTGGCCTAGTGTTTTCCATTGTCAGCCTTTAATTCCTGCTCAGTTGCAGAGGGAATTATTTATTTCCTCCAATTTACCTTAGAGGATTTAAATTGGCTCAATTGATGAAGTGGCTCAGAATTTTTTCCTCCCTTTTCCCATGGGTGATATAGGAAAAAGATTGTTCCTCACATTTACCTTGGGAGGTACTGCTTTTGAATCTGTGTTGTTTCCACTAGTGTAAGCATTTCACTGGGGCGGCATGGACCTTTTGAAGCTGGAAGAGAGGAAACAGAGCTAGCGTCTGAACTAGAACAGAACAATGGCAACCAGGACGTACTCAGCCCACTTAGTTGAGAGAAGATTTCTAGTTTGAGTTACAGTTGCCCAACCAACTCTTAAAAGAGAATCCAGTCATGTTTTCAAGGTAAAAAGCCTTAAAAAGCTGTCCTTTAAAGATCTCCTATGACTGCACGTCAAGGTATTTTGTACATGCAATCCCAGAACTTTGTTCCTTCCCCATGAGGACTAACAAATGTTCATAACACTCATGATCAAGCGTGCACTGAAAGAAAAAATCCACAATCTGTGCTTCTCATGTCGTGCTTCATAAATGACAATCACTGCTTGATGCAGATGTTGCACTGTATCCACTCAGGGATGTTTCATTAAAAAAAATACATCAAGAAGGAGGAAAAAATTAAAAACAGGAAAATGACAACAAAATGTAAATGGTATAAATTAAATATGCCACTGAGAGCACCTCTCTGACAAGGCTTTCAGATCAACAAGCAGTAACTTCAAGTCATAAACTGGATTGAATTATTTGGATTTGCTGAAAATTTGCACCCAAGTAAGGATAACTTGTTCTCATTTTCTAAACTCTGCTAAGAGCCAAATAATCTAGCTGCCCCATTCATAGGAATTTTTATCTCCCTGCAAATTTTCTATACAAATCCTGAACAAGGAAAATACAGAAATCTAACTGGCATTAGATAAAATGGACAAGTGAGGTGAAGCTGTGTGAATTCAAACTTCAGTGTACTTGTGGTCCATAAAAAGAAATGGAAATTTTGGAGGGAAAATAGAAGAGGAAAGGATTCCAAATCTGGTTTGACACCCATATATACCCATACTATCCATGACTCATCTTTGTGCCCCTTTTTCTGTGGCCTTTTTTTTGTTTGTTTTGAGACATAGTCTTGCTTTGTTGCCCAGGCTGGAGTGCAGTGGTGCAACCTCTGCCTCCTGAGTTCAAGTGATTCTCCTGCCTCTGCCTCCCAAGTAGCTGGGATTACAGGCATGTGCCTCTACACCTGGCTATTTTTTGTATTTTTAGTAGAGATGGGGTTTCACTATGTTGGCCAGGCTGGTCTTAAACTCCTGACCTCAAGTGATCCACCCACTTCAGCCTCCCAAAATGCTGGGATTACAGGCATGAGCCACCACACCTGGCCTTCTATGGCTCTTTTATCCCCCAAAGACTGAAAGCTGAAGGTAGAGATGTTCTCCACAAACATACCCTTTCTGAATTTCCTGAATTTCCCTTGTTTTAACACTGTGTTCAGGGCTCTGGACTAAAGTACCTCTGAGTAGGTAAAATCAGATAATATAATGGTCTCCTGAGTGATTAGATTTCTTTGGTAGATTCTAAGAGATCCTAAATCATAATAACTCTGCATATTAACAAGATGTACCAGGGAGGTATCAGTACATTTCCTATCATAGCTGCCTGGTTCAACGTATAACTTCACAGCAGTCAAGCTAAACTGTTTGTAGAAAACCATAAAGGTCAACTCATGCTCACTCTCTACAATGCAATGTGAACCAGACTTAAAGACAAAAACAATTCTTGGGTCCCAAGGACAACCTAAAACTTACCAACTTTTTACAGAAGCAACAACCAGATGCAAATAATGGCAGTGTTGTTCTATGTTCTTTGTTAGTTTATTACAGAAGCAAGGAAAAATTCTACTTCTCTTGGAAATTAGAAGAAATAATTTTTTCCTGACTCTTTTTTTCTATAAACTTTTATTTCCAAGGAAGCTGCTACAGTTGGCAGTAAATTCAGCCTGGGGACGTCTGTGCCCTGACAGAAGCACCATTCAATAGAACAGCAATAACTTTAAAGTGTGCATCTGTAGTGAAACTGCACAGAGTCCCCTGTATAAAGAAGAGGGAAAAGCCTACCATCTGCTTTAGATGAAGTGCTATTTGATGTTCTGTTTCCAATTGCCAGCACAAGCAGCAACTAGAGTAAAGGCCTGATGTGGAAAACTATGGGGGCCTTTCAAAAAAGAGCTGACACCCTATTCATTTTTGGGTCTCAGGACCAGAGGGTACAGGGTAGAGGGTACTTTAGCATTTAAAGCAAGGGTTGAAAATTCAAAAGCCTAAAAGGGCCTGGGGGCTTAATGCAAATGGTTGAAGCAGCCCAGTGACAAGCTCACCAGGACATGCCCTGTGGAATAAGGTACATCCACGATTTAGCTGACGCTGAATGCTGCTAGAACTTCTGAATTTTATAAAATCTCTCAAGTTATACATGATGGCAGTTGATTTGGAGCTTAGTGCAGACCAAATAAATACATCACTGAGCAGAAGAGAGTCCATAGATCGTCAGCTTGCAGCCTATGGTTTAAAACAAAATTGTATCTGGGGCCAGCTCAACTAGAGCAAGTCTGGCCAGATCCAACCCTGGACGATATTAGAATGATATTAGTTTTGGAAGGAGGGGATGGAGACCTTGCCCTTCTGATACTCAATTTTGTTTACATACTTGATTGTCACAACTAGATGATATAATAGGAGGTCAGCTTGGAAATAGCAGTCTAAAAATGAAAACAATTCAATTTAGTGATGGCTTATAAGAGACACTTCAATTTGTCTTGCCCAAACTCCCTTCTTCATAGAGCCAGGGGGCTAGGTTTCTTGCCACTTTCTTTCTGAAAGGCAAATACGTGACTTTTATTCTTTTGGGTATCAATGTTTCTTTAACTGTGTCACTTCAATATCTGCGACAAGTTTTTATTTTCCCTTAGTCGTATGTGAAGAATTTATTCTATAGTTGTGATAATGTAGTCCTCCATTGTTCAGAAGTGCAGACCATGGATTCCTATGCAGCAGATGGGGGTTATCTGTTTGTGCACTTTTTTCCTAAGCTGCTGAATTTCCTCCGAAGTGAATGGGCCATAGTAATCTTTGCCTCCTGTGTGACTGTAAGCATGGCCTCCAGTGGATCAGAGAAAGCAGCTCAGTGATTGTTCTCATGGCCAAAAATAAAGCACAAGGGTTACCAGAATTGAATGAGCCCCGTTGAGGGCAGCCCAGGGCATCCGCACCCCAGCTGGGCAGCTCAATCCTTGTATTCAGCTATACTCTTCTGGTGGTGACTGGTGGCAAGCATTCGCGTGCCTCTGTCACAACCATATGTAGACACACATTAGGTATGTCTGAAAAGCTACAAATCCCACATCCAAGCACAGTACCGTCTGCTTCATCTGATTAACACACACACACAAGAAAGAAAAATTACACCCACAGAAAACTGAGTATGTATTGTAGAAATGTAGAGGAAAAATAAAAATATTTTTTCAAATGTAATTACTTTTAATATATGCTTGTGGAAGGTCTAATACAATGTATGCTGTCTCTTTAATTTTTGCTGTAAATAACTGGAGACAGTGAGTACACTGATTTTTCTATGTCTGTTTAAGCATAAGACTTTGTAACAATTTTTTTAGAGGGGGAAATCAACAAAGAGCAAATATGTACTTGCTTCCTTTATGCGTGTTATGTACTTCTCAGTTTTTTAATGGAAACTGGTTGTAACAGTTTAAGCATCTTGACGGGTCATTGGTGTTAAGTGTATGCTTCTTTTTGTAATATGACTGAGAAAGGGACAGGGCTGTCAATTAAATCTGCTCCAAAGAATTTGTATTGAAGATTGGCCTAAGACCTGCAAACTCTATCTGAACTAGACATATGAAAAGGGAAAATTAAAAAAAAAAAAATGTTGCCTGAGTTAAGTCATCTTTCCTTGTAGCAAATGGCTTTGTCCAAATCCTTTCTGCATGGAATAGCTTAAGGAAAACAAACTCCGCTTTCTGATGAACAAAATATTTTTGTACACGTTTATTTCTTATTAATAACCTGAGGTCAGATCACTCATTTGCTGAAGCCATAACTGACCTTCACCAAATAAATGTTGTAAAGAACCTGGGGGAGGGTTGGGGAGAAACTGAGAGGGAGGAAAATCCAAGGTATCATCAGCTATAGCAACACAGGCAGGAGCAAGTCGTTGAAACTGATGCTTTTCCTGCATCCCAAATATGACTTTAAAAGGCTAGTATTTTATGATGATTGATTTATAATAATAAAAAAGATATTTAGATTTAAATGAGACATTCCAATATTTTTGAAATCCCTGACAATGCTTCCTTGCTTTTAGGATTGAGAGAAATGATTTTCATATACTTCCAATGTTCAGAGATTTAATGTTTTTACCTTAGCTCCAGCCCACACTTGTAAAGTGAAGAGCGACTCTAAGCCCTCCAGTTGTTGAAACCTTGGGCTACCTGGGGCTTGGCTGTGCCCACTAACCTACTGCGCCTAGTGGGCAGCATGGGAGGGGTACACTTTGCATCTCATTAGCATGCACACCGCTATTGGCATTGCATAAAAGTTGCATTGCCACAAGTATGTAAAATAAAAATATTCACTCTAAAAGGAATAATAATTCTACTTTTTTAAAAGAATAATGCCTCTTATAGTCACCACTGATTTTTCTGGAGTTTAATTACATTATTGCCATGTATTCTTATTGGCCTATAGAGGCAAAAGGCAAACCACAAATAAACCCAGTGACATATATAGTTTTAAAATCTACAATTTTCTGATCTCTCTCTCCTTGTTTAATATGTAAGCCCTAATTTCTGTATGTGTGAGTAAAACTGCAGCCTGAGTCATTTAGGAAGTAAGCATTGAGGTTTTTTTTTTAATTATAAATATACTAGAATAAAACAGCACTCCCTAACAATTAAAAAAGAGTTTTATATTACTTTAGAATGTAATAGGTTTTTGTCCTTATTTTATGTCCTGTAAATTATTAGTTGAATACTGTTAGCATTCCCGGATAATGCACACATGATTTCTGAATGTTTTCTGTAAATGACAATCAATGTTTATGAAGTTCCCTCCTTTAATGCTGAACAAAATTAAAAGAAGAAAAAGAAAAAAAGGACTTGCCTAATGGTTTCTTTCCTCCCCACCCCAATCCCCACCCTCACCCTTGGGAACAAGGAATGGGTGGAAAAGATAAGATTTAGCTTCAAAAACATTACCCCATGGGTTCTTACCTACAAAGTTGTTCTTTCTCTAGTAAGTAATGGGTAATTTTTTGTTTCAGGAATTTTTCGTATCCTCAGGGAGCTGTCCTGAGTTAGAAATATTCATTGAGAAAAGACTCAGAGTCCATTCTAGCCAAACAGCTTACCAAGTTACAATCAAAATGAGAGCAGCATCTCTCAAAGACAATGGCTCTCCTTTTCTCAGCACTTTAATAAAAGGAAGCCCCAGCTAGCAGAGCTATAAGCAACTCACCTGCAAGCACTTTGTTGAAATAACGTGCAGCAGATTTAAAATGGATGTGACAATCCCTACATCTGATGAAAGCTTTCAGATAATTAATGATTAAGTCTCTGGGCCTGATTTTTCTTGTTGCTGTTTTTTAGCAAAGTTTTATCAAGCTGTTCCACTACCAAAATCAATGCCACTAACATATGAATGCTCTGAATCTTATTTGGAGGTGGATTAGGAAGCAATTGAGGATAATCACAGACTCATGGTGATGTTGAAAAAGGCAGCTCCAAGAGAAGCCAGCAATATTTCAGGTGCTTGGAAGTTACTGCAGATTGGGGTCCCTAGAGCTGAAATGCTCCAAAAATAGTAGTTTAAAGCAAGATTTAACAGAATTTAAAAGTAAAAGCATTGATGCAAATGATGGGATGAGCTTTAGAAACCTTTCTGTAAAGTTTCTTCCAACCTTCGCTGGTCTTTGGAACCGATGAAAACCCTTGCCATATGTTTCAAGCCACATCTCAAGACATTCAGATCTCATGTGGCTCTGCTCTGAAGTTACAGAAACAGAAAAATGTACTTATTTTTCTGTGAGAGCACCATTTATGTCCCTTGGTTTATAACGAGGTCTTCAGTGTCTAGTCAGAGATGGCAAATGTATTACCTCAACCTATCCCAGGCTCATGTCAATTGTTGTCAATGATTGGTCATAGAACTTTTGGCAACAAAGTCACCTAAGGTTTTTTCAGAAACCTAGATCTAGGTAGCATTGCAATACAAGATAAAACTTACCATTTTTAAGTTTTAAGCTTGGACCGTATTACATGATAATTGTTAACTTTTGATAGAGTTATTAAAAATTATAAATTAAGCCCTTTTTATGCACAAAGCTTTGTTCTGTTCATAGATCTTCTTAAGAGCGAGATCTGGCAACATATTTCCACAATCATACTCTGCAGTGTGCATGAGGTATGTCATTACCTCAATTATCAAAGGTATAGCCCAGGTGTGGCCACATATTCCAGGTGGCAGCAGCTTCTTGATCCATTTAGAGAAAAGGCAGAAGTGAAGCAAACTCTAATACCATCTTGGCAATGAGGTGTCTCACATTACAAAGCCACCATGCTATAAGTTTTCTCTTATTGTTTTCTAAAGTTGAACTTGCTAAACTTAACTGGTTGAATGAATATTATTCCAAGAGACTGTAAAATTCATGACAGCCATGTCTCAGAGACCTTTAAACCACCCAATATTATGAGGTAGGTCATGGTATGGTAGCACTCAATAAATGTGTCAATTACATTTATTGGAGTCTTCTCTCCTTTTCTACTTCTAGCCTCCCAACTATTTGCTGTCATTTCATTGATTTTGCCCTTGAGAAAATCATCCTCCAGCAGAGTCACCAGACATAGACATGCTTTTCATCATAAGCAATGAGAAAGAAAATGGTGGCTCATTGGCAATGGACATTGAAAGAATGTTCTTTCCCTTTATCCAAAGATTTAGCCAAAAGCAACAACAGAAGAAGCCTGAGAGTAGCTATCAGAGGGCACTAGATGTTAGACATAGCTTCTTAGATTTTCACAGAAGGCTCAGCTGGGCAGGAAACAAGAAACAGAAAGATCTGGGAGCCTAATTTGTAAAACAAATTTTGCATGAAAGTCTGGCATTGGTTTTTATGGATCAAACCTTCCAGTCTGGTTTGATCAAAATCCTAAAATCTTAGTCAAAAAGTAGAGAATCTGGATAACTGATTACTTCTGAAATATATCCCTGCCCAGGTAAGAAATTTTAGAAAAGGTCCTATTTTTTAAGAGCTGGAAACCATTATATCTGTGATCATATATTCCTGTTATAGAAGTCAAAGTAGCAGATCAAATGTCATTTTAGATGTCCACTTAGTCTCTAAGATGCTTTGCACATGGCTACAAGAAGAAGGAGCAAGAAAGAGCATGCAGGATTACACAGTAGATTCACATGGGCTAGGCCTACTCACATCTCATCACCCAGAATTAATCCCATGGCACCAGACAGCAGTGGAGGCGGCTGAGATACATAGCCTAGTTGTGTGCCCACAGAGAAAAGGAAACAGGGTTTAGGGTACAGTTAGCAGTCCGGACCCAAATATGAAAGAAATTTAGGAAAGTCTCTAATGTCATCTTCCATCAGATACTTCAACAAACATTTGTTCAACTATTCAACAAGTATTTATTGATCCACTACAATGCCAAGAAAGTCACTGAGAATACAACAGTGAAACATGATGAGTACAGATTCTGCCCTCATGGAATCTATGGTCTGGGTCCAAGAAAGATGGATATACAGAGGAAAAAGATATCATATAAATAATTATAAAGAATAAATCTTATTTATAACTGCTACACCAGCTACAAACAAAATTATAAGCTGTCACTATAGATTGTTACTTTCTATTTAGCTCT